ATTTCCTGCTGTGTAGAGGCTGTTTGCAGCCCAGATCCTGTATCCCATAGTATAACACCCAACTCTCAGACCTCATCATATCACATGCTGAGCTTTGTTGCACTAAAGAGCACTGTGAAACTAAATTATAATAACCTGATCATTCTCCAACGCGCAGCTTGGAGAATCCAAAGCTTCGGGTAGTTCAACAGTTGAGTAGCCTACACTGAGTGTGTTCCTTTAAATTTTTTCTCTTCAGACACACCCACTTGCTCCACAGAGTCCCAGTTTAGTTCACTCAGTTGAGCCTGTGACACTGTCTGAAAAATTCTCCAGTGAATTTTACTTGACTATTGTTCCTGAAGCTTTGGATTCTTCTCTGATTAGGACTATTTCTTCCATTCTTCCTTGTGGAGTGGCCAGGGGTGAGTTGCCTGGGCTCCAGGCTGACCGCCCATGGAGATTTGCTACGTTCCGGGGAGCCCTGCCAAACTTCTGACTTCCCCGATCCTTCAAATTGCCGCCGGCGTGTGGGTAGGTTCCCCGGCCTGCCGGTAATACCACCCCTGCCTTTTTGGACTTTAATTCCCTGGGCGGCTTGAGATCGCTGCCCTGCTCTCAGTGGCGCTTTCTCAGAAGATTGAGCCTTGTCATCGGCGTCTGGATCACTTCTGAGTGATCGCACGTCTCCAGAGCACGGAGGACTTCTACGCCGCCCCCTCTCCCACCTAGAACTCGCTCATCTGTCAGGGCTTTTACATTACGGCGACTTTCTCTTCCCGGCTCTGATCGTACTGCTGCGGCGATTGGAGCGCCTTGGGGCTTTGGCCGAGAGGTGGCTGACTACCGGCAGCTCTTATCTATTGGTTTAAGCGGCGGCGGCGTTTGGAGCGTCTGAGGGCTTGCACGCCATTTTTTTGCCGCCCTGAGCGCTAGGAGCTGGTTCTTGACAGCTCACGCCTGACTTCCTGATTCCCCAGACTGAAAGTTTCGCTTGGAATCCCCCTTCCTAAACCAGCCGCTTGCCTCCCGTGGCAGTGGAGCAGGCACGGGGGAGTTCGGAGGAAGCCCCTTTGCAATAGCTGCAGCCCTCGCCTCGCGCCTAAACTGCTGTCAAAATTCAGAACTCTAATGGCTGCCATCTTCTGCCCGGCAACACTTCCGCGCATGCGCATTCGGCTGCTGGGAGCTGACAGGTATTAGAACTGTCAAACTAAAGCCTCAGTTCTTTAGGCAACATGACAAGGCTGGTTCACTCTTGCAAAAATGTCTCAACTCCGGCTTTTTGGACGATCGTGGTTGACCAGCCCCCGTGAGAGGAGGGCTGGGTCACCCTCTGCCGGACCGAAACAGCATTTTACTCCCGCCATTGCCGTGAGAGGGCACTGAGGTCTCACATGCTCCATTGGAACTCTATTGAAGCCTTGCATTGCACTCCTTCTGACTGTGATAACATCAAATTGGCCCCTGGTTATTGGCCATGGACTATCACCTCCCTTTGATCTTTGATGTACTCGGTGAATGACCTTCGTGCCCTGCGAGACTCCCGCCTCTCGCAGGTCTGGCCCTCTTCGTTATCGAGGGCCTATCTTGATGACGGGCGTTGGAGCCCCGAGAGATGGCATGCGGCTAAGAAGAGTTTGAGGGGTTTTTTAAGTGGGTTTTTTAGTGAGTTTTTAACAAAAATTTTAAGGGGTTCGGGGGGGATTAGGGTGGGTTCTGGGGGAAATCCACTGGGTTCAAGACCAGCCTTAGCGAAGGGCTGCGACATTAGGGACGCAGAACCGGAGGTCGGGGAGGGGGTTGGAGTTCGATTTGAAGAGGGCTGTTCCATCAGCACAGTGAGTGGGAGGGGCAGATATGGCGGAAGCTGGGGACCATATCATGTGCGGGGAATGCGCACTCGCTATCTTAGAGCGATTGCGCATTCCGGTCCCCAATGCCTTTCTTGTTCCCCAGGTTGTTCAGATTCTCAGGGCCAGAGCCTCCGGCTGATGTTGTGCAACGCCAGGTCCGTTGTTAATAAAGCCCCCCTCATCCACGATCTTATTCAGGAGGGGGAGGCGGACCTGGCGGGCATTACGGAGACCTGGTTGGGCCAGGAGGGGGGAGTCCCCCTCGTGGATATATGCCCACCAGGCTTCCGTGCATTTCATCAGCCGAGGGCTCAGGGCAGGGGCGGGGGTGTGGCGGTTATTATAAAGGAAGGTCTGGATCCAAGGGAGACCACTGTTCCACAGATAGCCGGATGTGAGTCCCTCTTTGTGAAGTGGGGTCGTGGAGTACAGATGGGCCTGTTGGTCACGTACCTGGCTCCCTGCCACGTGGCAACGGCCCTGCCCGAGCTCCTTAACGTTATAGCCGAGGTGGCGGTGGGCACCCCCAGACTTGCCATCATGGGGGATTTCAATCTGCCATCTATCGGTGAAACGTCTGAGGTGGCTCGAGAGTTCATGGCTTCCATGACGGCCATGGACCTTACTCAGTTAATTCATGACCCCACTCACACAGGAGGACACACTCTGGACTTAGTTTTTGTCTCTGGTCAGTGGTTGAGTGGCCTCGATATAGGGGATATAGCCATTGAACCCTTGTCATGGTCTGACCACTCGCTCCTTCGACTGGACTTTCTAACCGCTGCACCCTGCCGCAGGGAGGCAGGACCGACCAGGTGGTTCCGCCCCAGGCGCCTGATGGACCCTGATAGGTTCCAGATGGAGCTTGGGCCATTTCCTGAGATTCTGGCTCATGACTCGGCCGAAGACCTGGTGGCCGCCTGGGATAGTGCGGCTGCCGGGGCCTTGGACCGAGTCGTGCCTTTGTGGCCTCTGACCCGGCACCGAACTCACCTAGCTCCTTGGTTTTCCGAGGAGCTTAGGGAGATGAAGCGCCGGAAAAGACGCCTGGAGAGTAGTTGGAGGACCAGCCGCTCCGAACCTGACCGAACACTGGTGAGGTCTCATATTAAGACCTACCTAGTGGCGATAAAAGCGGCGAAAACTAATTATTTTGCCGCTCTTATCGCGTCATCAGATAATCGCCCGGCCGCCCTGTTTAGGGTGACCCGCTCCCTCCTCCATCTGGAAGTGCGGGATGACCCCTTGCAGGGTCGAGCTGAGGATTTTGTGCAGTATCTGTATGACAAAATCGCTCAGATTCGGGAAGGGCTGGCCTCTGACTGGGTATGTCCAGATGGGATGACTGAGGCAGGTCTTGAGAGTGTTATCTGGGGGCAGTTCGATCCTGTGGCTCCCGAGGACATGGACAGGGTCCTGGGACGGCTGAACGCGACCACATGTTTATTGGACCCGTGTCCCTCCTGGTTGGTACTGGCTTCCCGGGAGGTGACACGAGGCTGGCTCCAGAAGATTGTTAACGCTTCTTTGAGTGAGGGAGTCCTGCCGGCCGCTTTGAAAGAAGTGGTGGTGAGGCCCCTCCTCAAGAAGCCTTCTCTGGATCCGGCTGTTTTGGCTAACTATCGTCCAGTCTCCAACCTTTGCTTCATTGCGAAGGTTGTTGAGAGTGTGGTGGCGCAACAGCTTCCCCGGTACCTGGATGAAGCTGTCTATCTAGACCCGCTCCAGTCCGGCTTCCGGCCTGGGCACAGCACGGAAACGGCATTGGTCGCATTGGTGGATGATCTCTGGAGGGCCCGGGATAGGGGTTGCTCCTCTATCCTGGTCCTGTTAGACCTCTCAGCGGCTTTTGATACCATCGACCATGGTATCATGTTGCACCGGTTGGCGGGGTTGGGGGTGGGAGGCACCGTTTTGAGGTGGTTCTCCTCCTACCTCTCTGACCGGTCGCAATCTGTGTTGACAGGGGGGCAGCGGTCGACCCCGGGGCACCTTGCTTGTGGGGTGCCACAAGGGTCGGTCCTCTCGCCCCTTCTGTTCAAGATTTATGTAAAGCCGCTGGGTGAGATCATCCGTGGCTTCGGGGTGGAGTTCCATCAGTACGCTGATGACACCCAGCTGTACATCTCCACCCCAGGCCACCCCAATGATGCCCTTAAAGTGATGTCCCAGTGCCTGGAGGCCGTGCGGGCCTGGATGGGGAGAAACAGGCTCCAACTCAACCCCTCCAAGACCGAGTGGCTGTGGCTTCCGGCGTCCCGATATAGCCAGCTGACGCCATCGCTGGCTATTGGGGGCGAATCACTCGCCCCCACGGAGAGGGCTCGTAACTTGGGTGTCCTCCTGGACGCACGGCTGTCGTTAGAAGATCATTTGGCGGCCGTGGCCAGGGGGGCTTTTTATCAGGTCCGCCTGATACGCCAGTTGCGCCCCTTTCTAGATCGGGACTCCCTACGCACAGTCACTCAGGCACTCATCACTTCCCGCCTGGACTACTGCAACGCTCTCTACATGGGGCTCCCCCTGGGGTGCACCCAGAGGCTCCAGCTGGTCCAGAACGCGGCCGCGCGGGGGATTTTGGGGGCGACGAGGCGCTCCCACGTGACACCTCTCCTGCGCGAGCTGCACTGGCTCCCGGTGGTCTTCCGGGTGCGCTTCAAGGTGTTGGTGACCACCTTTAAAGCGCTCCATGGCTTAGGGCCGGGGTACTTACGAGACCGCCTTCTGCCACCAATAGCCTCCCACCGGCCAGTACGCTCCCACAGAGTGGGCCTCCTCAGGGTGCCGTCCGCCAGACAATGTCGGCTGGCGACCCCCAGGGGGAGAGCCTTCTCTGTGGCGGCGCCCACCCTCTGGAACAACCTCCCCCCAGAGCTACGTACAATAACAGACCTCCGGATTTTTCGTCGGGCCCTAAAAACCCATTTATTTCAACTAGCTGGGCTGGCTTGAGTCAAATTTTAAACGGATTTTAAATTGGAATGTTTTAATTACGGCCAAAATTATTTAATTATTTTAAACAGATTTTAGATTTTGTATGTTTTGTATGTATGTCTTGTTTTTACTTTGGCTGTTCACCGCCCTGAGTCCTACATTGGAGAAGGGCGGTATAGAAATTTAAACAAATAAATAAATAAATAAATAAAAATATTAAAACTGACTCACCTGTTTGTTTTCCTCCTTCCTCTGCTGTTGTTGAGCCTCTTTTCACCTGAAAAACAAAACAAAATAAAACAAAACAAAACAAAGAATTAAATTATATTAATTTTGTTAATTCATATTAAAGATTTTTGCTATGGCCGAACGCGACCTTTCTTCTGACCTGGAGGATATCCACAGCTCTCCTGAATGTCATTAGGTGCAAAACAGGTCGCGTAAAACGTCTCGAAAACGTTCCTCCCACACTTCGTCCTAATCGGATGCTCCATCTTCAAAGAGGTCCAAATCGTCCTCCGCTGCAGCCAAGGACGCCTCCAGGAGACATAAAGCCCTGGAACGACAATTTGAAAAGGTACGCCAGCTGTCTGACAAGGCTTCGTCCTCACGCTTGCCGCCCCCACTATCGCCTGTGGCAGAAGCAGCTGTCCAGCTGTCCCATCACACCGATCCCTCTGAGGTGTCCCAAACCCATTGCATGGAGCCGGTGGATCTCTCATGCAGCTCCTCCCATCATCGAAGGCCTCAGCCGGAGGCAACCTTTACTCCCACGGCTGCAGGATTGCGAGCCACGGAGTCGGCTCCTCCGCCCTTTCCTTATGACATACAACATATCATATCTGAGACTGTATCCCACACTCTGGCAGCGAACTCTCACCATTCAGTACAGTATGCTGCCTGGCCTCAATCGAGCTATCCTCCTCCGCCACCTCCCCCCCGGGCTTCTCATCCGGTTTCTTACCGGTATCCTGCTATGACACACGTGGGCGCTTCTCATCACGACTACGGACACGGCGGGGGGTCGTCTTCGGAGGACGACGAGGACGACCTATTGGAGATGGACTTGTCCGACGATGCTGATATGCCACCTGATAAGCCGGCTTTTTCTGGGCTTTTCAGGCCCTCGCTATTTAAATCCCTTTTACACAAAGCCAAATTGACCACAAAACTGGCAGATTCTGCACCACAGGTTGATCAACCGGGTCCTTCTCAACAACATGATGCCCTCTTCACGGCGCCCAAACCTGAAGCAGAATTTATTCCGTGCCCGCAGCTCTTTTCCGAGGTGGTACAACGCTCCTGGTCCACGCCCTCCTCCTTACCCGCCCCTTCGGGTCTGGACAAAAAGCTGTATTGTTCAGCACCTAGTCTCCAGGAACTTCTTCAGTTGCCGACTGTGGACGCCCCTGTGGCCAATCTGACTGCTTCCTCGGTAATTTCCAACGATGTTGCCGACGGGCTGTGCTCAGAGGATCGAAAAGCTGAGTTTACTTTTCGTCGTACCATAATGCGGCCGCCTGGGCTGTTAGGGCTGCCACCTCGGCTTCCTTCTTCAGCCGTGCATCTCTAATCTGGCTCCGCCATCTTCAGGAGTGCCTCCCTCCTGACGATTCACGCCTCCGCCAAGATGTGAACAAACTGGTGGCGGCTACAGAATACACGGTGGACGCTTCGCTCAATGCCGCGAAGTTTGCTTCACGCGCCCTGGTGTCATCCGTTACATCTCGCCACTTATTGTGGCTTAAAAATTGGAGAGCTGATGCAAAGTCCAGATGGCGACTCGCCTCAACTCCGTACAAGGGTTCCCGTCTCTTTGGAGACGCTTTGGACCCCATCCTTGTGGAGGACAAGGATAAGCGGAAGGTCATGCCATCCTCTTTCAAGAGAGCAGATCGTAAACCTTCATCTTACTCCACCAGGCAGCCCTTTCGGACCGACGCCGGACCTTCGGGGTCCTTCTCTTCCAGGTCCTACTCTCAAGGGTTCGACCGTTCTTTCGATAGATCTTCCTTCAGAGCCCGTGGACGAAAGGCCCCAGCTCCCAAGCGGCCCTTCCGAGGTACAGGTTCCCGTGCCTTTACAAGAGGAAAATGACTACACCCACCTTCCCATTGGCGGCCGTCTGACTCATTTTCTTTCCCAGTGGGAGATTTCGACGATGGACGCCTGGGTGCTCCAGACGATCCGTCTGGGCCTTACCCTGGAGTTCCGTTCCCGTCCCCCCTCTCACTTTGTCCAATGCCCTCTTTCGTCCAATTTAGCCAAGCGTCAGTTAATGGAGGCAGAAATCCATCACCTGCTCCAAATTCAGGCCATAGAACCAGTCCCCCCCCATCATCGCGGGACCGGCTTCTACTCAATTTTCTTCCTGGTCCCCAAAGCGTCGGGGGGTCACAGGGGCATCTTAGACCTCAAGAGGCTGAACGAATTTATCATCTACCATCAGTTCAAAATGGAGTCCCTCCGCTCGATTCTCGCTTCCATTCGACCATCAGACTGGATGACGTCTATTGATTTGAAAGAGGCGTACCTCCACGTGCCCATACGACGGTCCCATCGTCGTTACCTCCGCTTTGCCTACAACAACAGGCATTTCCAATACAGGGCAATGCCCTTTGGCCTCTCCTCCGCCCCCAGAACCTTTACGAAGCTCTTGGCAGCAGTGGCAGCCCACCTACGTCAGCATCCGGTTCGGCTCCACTGCTGCTTGGACGATATCCTGGTGCTCTCCTCTTCCCCAGCCCGGGCCTCTCGAGACCTAGGAGTGGTGTGTCGCTGTCTTCGTCATCATGGCTTCTCCCTCAACATTCCAAAGAGCCAATTGCAGCCCACTACTCGAATTCTTCACCTCAGGACAGTAATAGATTCTGTGAAGGGCCAGGTGTTCCTGTCAACGGATCGGTGCTCCAGTCTCCAGTCATTAACATCCCAGGTCCTTTCCTCTCGGAGGGTGACATTGCTGCTCCTGTCCCGCCTGCTCGGCAAAATGATATCCTGCCTGTCCATCGTCCCTTGGGCGAGGTTTCACTCCCGCCAGCTCCAATGGTTCCTCCTCCCCTTTCAGAGGACCAGACGAAGCAACTCCACCGCAAGAGTATCCCTCCCGCCAGCTGTCTCAATGTCCCTCCTCTGGTGGTCTTCCCAGAGTCTACAGCAGGGCTGCTACTTTCAGAATTTACAACGTCTGGTAGTGACAACGGACGCCAGCCTGACGGGATGGGGAGGTCATCTTCTCTCTCACGTCGCCCAGGGTACGTGGTCAACAGAGGATCACCGCAAAGGGATCAACTGGCTGGAACTCTGCGCGATTCGCCTCTCCCTCCTACGATTCCAGCAGATTGTGTCAGGGCATCATGTCCTGATACGCACGGACAATGTAACAGCAAAGGCGCACATGTTCCTGGTGTGCCAAATCCCACCTAGACCCAACGTCTGCGCCCGTTCCTGAAGTGTTGGGATTCCTACAGGAAGGTCTGGACAAGCACCTTGCTCCTAACACTCTTCGTCGCCAGGTTGCTGCACTAAATACTGTCCTTTCTGCTTCCGCAACACTTCCTCTCTCGCAGGACCCTACGATTTGCGCTTTTCTTAGAGGGGCAGCCAACCTGCGCCCACCTATTATACATCGCTACCCGACCTGGGATTTGACTCTGGTCCTTCAGGCCCTCATGCATCCTCCATTTGAGCCTCTCGCTTCCATCAGCCTCCGTTTTCTAACACTCAAGGTGGCGTTTCTGGTCGCAGTTACTTCAGCTCGCCATATATCTGAACTCGTGGCCTTGTCCGTAAGAAGCGACCTCTGTGTCTTTCACACAAATCGAGTGGTACTGAGACTAGACCCCTCATTTCTGCCTAAAGTAAATTCCTCATTCCATCGAGCCCAGGAATTGATCCTACCGGACTTCTGCCCGGAACCTCGACATCCTCGGGAAGCAAACTGGCACCTCTTAGATGTCCGACGGGCCCTGCGCAGATATATTAAACGAACGGAGCATTTCCGGAAATCGGAATCGCTCTTCATTTCCTTTCTGCCCGCCTCCATGGACCGGAAGGTTTCTTTAACAACAATTGGGAGATGGATTAAATCCTGCATCTCCAGGGCTTATTCGGTTCGGAACAGACCGGTTCCGCAGAGAATTCTTCCACACTCCACCAGGAGCGCCGCCACCACGGCCGCCTGGGCCACTAATGCCTCCGTCTCTGACAACTGCAGAGCGGCTACTGGTCATCCTTAAATCCCTTCATCAGGCACTACAAGGTGGACTCCTTTGCCTCGGCGGAGGCATCCTTTGGCCGCCGGGTGCTACAAGCTGTATGCAACTCTTCAGACGACGTGCAGCAGCCAGTTTCCCTCCCTGTCTGAACTTGCTTGGGTACATCCCGAAGCTTTGGATTCTTGGAGAACGGACGTTGCTTACCTGAACGTCCCTTCTTGACGCGCAGCTGGAGAATCCAACCCACCCAGCTTGGCTGCTGAACATTCCTTCCTTACGCTCTATTGCTCCTTACTTCGTGAACAAAACTGGGACTCTGCTGAGCAAGTGGGCGTGTCTGAAGAGAAAAAATTTAAAGGAACACACTCAGTGTAGGCTACTCAACTATTGAATTACCCGAAGCTTTGGATTCTCCAGCTGCGCGTCGAGAAGGGACGTTCAGGTAAGCAACGTCCGTTCTGAAACATTTACATACAGTTCAAATGGTAGATGTGAAGCAGAGCATAGACTTCAAGCACTTTCCCTTTGCAGTAAAAATAATGAAATAATAGAACTTCCAAAACAAAGTAAATTGTAATAACGTTGATTTCCTAGGAATAAAATGCACATCTTTATTTTAGACAGTATTAAAAACAATAGCAATAGCATTTTTATTACTTTCTGAAATCTCTTCTTCTATGGTCTGTCTATATAATGTTTTTTAAAATAATACAGATAGATTTCCAGGATAAGGAAAGGCACTTACTCATAATATGTACAGCATTTTTAAGTATTGCTATGGCTTACATATACCATTTGCAGTTGAGGAACTATTGAATAGTAAAGCTGCTAGAATTATTTAATGTTGTGTGTAATTATAGTTCATATTCCTGAATGACGCATGTTGAACTTTGCCATACTTTACTGTACTGTGGAGTGCCTTAGACAAAAAAAGATGAGCAGGAAGTAAACAATTCCCTATAGTTTTCCAAACCTTTTTATGCTCTGAAACCATTCAATTACCTTCCATATCGATTGCTCCTGAGACATGGAAAAGCTTTGGAATTTCTCTTCAGTATGTTTTACATTCCTGAATCATTCTGAGAATTTCATCATTTGTCTCTAAATCATGCAATTGTCACATCATCCCACAGGATAAAAATTTCAGGATAATGGCCTCTGAACCCTCTGAAATTTTTAATGTCAAGGTTC